GAGCAACGATCTCGACGGATTGACATGTCGTCAATCAACCTGGTATGGGGAATATATGGGTTGACCATTGTTAATGATCTGGCCCGGCGCGCGCTACTTCGTAGCTCGTGCCATCGGGCCAACATAACATTTCGAGAAGAAAGCGGCGCGCGCTACTTCGAAGAAATTTAGACGAGTAACATCCGTCAAATATATGGGGTATGGGGACACCGGCCATTATGTCCAATAATCAGATTAACAATCTCACTCCAGACACTCAGCGCGCAGCTTTTGTAACTTATGTGTCACTTCTTTTTAGTTTGTAGTTCGAGCGTGCTAAATCACTCTACAGTCGATCTTCGAGATTGTTCTAAAAGGGTCCCCGACAGTTGAAACCAACTTCAATCGATGTATTTTTGGACGCTGATTCCGAATCACCCCCCATGACATAGGGTTAAAATGCTCCCCTGACGATATATTGGCGAAAAACTGTCTTGATCACGTGATATGACCGTATAAGGAAGTTAGTCTAATTTCTCGATAGGGTTAGGGTTTCAGCATATGCTTTTGTTAAGGATTGGGTTAGGGTTAGGGTTGGGATCAGATATGATTATAGGGTTAAATTTTCGAATAGTCGTTCAGGACCAGCTAGAGAAGGGATTGAAAAAGTCACGTGACAGTCGAGTGTAGAGTGATTAATCATCATCCTTTGTAGTTAGCCTGCATTTGTTTTTTATTCTGCGATTGATTGTATTAATCAGTAAACGGTCACACTTTACTTTACTTTTATTATTATATGAATGCAATAAAATTTATAATTTACTTCACTCAAATATAATGAAGATTCTGCGAAATGATAAGGTTGGCTGAGCGCCGCCCAGTAACGCTTTGCATTGAAAACTCTCTCGATTATTTTTATTTGTGTTCTGTTTATATACTTAAGGCTTTTGTTTAATTGATGACATTTATATATAAACCCACTTTAAATTTGTACCATTTTGTGATACATGATGTAATTAAAATTAAAATTTTATTTAGTTTTAAAACAAACAGCGGTGGAAAATGTATTCAGTGCGCGGCTCGGCCCAGTCACGTAACATAATTCAGACAAAAATTCGGCCTAAAATAAATCTTTTCGGAATAACTCAAAATCTTTGTATATTTTTTAAATATTTTAGAAAATATGTTCGTGAACAATTTGATTATTAGCCTGGGTTTCCAAAAAAATAAGACTTTTTCTAATCTTATTGATATCATAAAATATGATAATATTCAAATAAGTCACCACGAGAATAAAGTGACTTGCCCGAGGATCTACAAACTCCCTGTTACCAACGGATCAAGAAAACAACAATTTTTATGAAAACAGCAACTTTATTTAGTATCAATTAAAGCAGACAAAAATATATTCATATATATAACTAGCACAAACTTTAGGCCAGATATCTTAGGGGACTTGGAGTAGCAAGAGAGTGACTAGAAGGTAGATATATACTTTTTACAAAAATATGTCGAAGGAACAGAGAGTGACCGTAAAGTTTACGCACCCACCTGACCCTTGCTTCCTGAATTCTTGGTTAGATAGACATTTATGCAAACATGGTCGTTTATACTCCAAGTCCCTTCGTTAAAAGAAGTAGTATTATTTATGTTTGGAGCTAGCTTCATTCAATAATAACGATATCAAGGTATTTGGTTGGGGAGGTGGTCGTGATGTACTGTACTACTTACGAAGTACTGTACACGATGTTTTCAACCCACGAGTCAGAGAGCAAGCTCTGATGACGGCTCCCAGATGACGTATGCACATGTGGGTGAATCGGTCCGATCAAGTAGTTGGTTGGGCTGTGATTGTATCGACCATGAGTACCAAGCATGAGCAAGCAGATATTTGAATTGAGTAGATTTCCACTGGTAAGCAATTCGGAAAATCATGGGCCGGCATAGTGCTGGGGCGGGTATTATCCGCCAACCTCCGAGTTACATGCCTGGTGCTCTACCGATTGAGCTACCAGCCCTATTCAGCTCAGGAATTTCTTGCAAGCCTATCAAGCTATCAGTAAGCAATCGTGTTGTTATCTCATATCTGCTGCCATTAGTACACTGCATTGTATGCAGCTGGGATAGTCACTGCCATAATTGTGAGTGTACACACTGTGTGTAATGTTTTTAATTTAAGGTATTTTGTTGGGGAGGCGGATTATCGTTGTGAAGTACTGTAATGTACTACTCACGAAGTACTGTACACGATGTTTTCAACCCACGAGTCTGAGAGCAAGCTCAACTGACGGCTCACAGATGACGTTTATGCACATATTGTAGGTGAAAAATATCAATATATAATCAATATCAATATCAATATCAGACTAAACTATCGAATAAATAAATTATCAAATATTAATTATTAATTCGTTCTGATGAAAATGTATAAATCAAGATGTTTAATAATCAAAACATTACAAGTGGTTAAAAACGCCCAAAATCGATCTGAGAGTTTTTTACCTGGGGACCTCAGGCTATTATGTTCATTAACATCGGCAGAATGACAGGCTGAGCGCGGCCCAGTAAAGAGTTTTTCAGTCTATAGTACAATCATGATAGTAAGAGAAATAATAAGAACAAAACAACAGCACTAATCAAATATGGTCATATGTATAGCTAGTAGGCTGTATACTTTTCACTCACAAAAATTGCATGGATTGCATCACAAATTAAGTAAAGTAAAATAAAGTAAGCCTGAGTCGAAATTTAAAATTTAGAGACTCTAATCAATTCAGGAGCTGCATAATAATAATTCAATCCACCGTATTACAACAGTATAAGGAGTTCGTAGGTTCAGCGATCTGTTCATCATTCAGTACCTCTCTAAGTGACAGACTGAGAGGTGCACAGAAACCCCTGTTCATCATTCAGTACCTCTCTAAGTGACAGACTGAGAGGTGCACAGAAACCCCTGATAGTGTTTTCAATCAGCAAATTCATTACACCTGCAATATATCGCTCATATAACAACACGATGCATGTTTTCAATTAAATGAGGGGGATAATCTAAGGCCAACATCATGATATTCACGAGTACAAGCTGATATCATAAATCATTAAAATGGACAGGTATTAGACAATTTGTAAAAGTAGGCCTTTAAGATGACCACAAGTCTGCTGTCAAAGCAGCTGGCCTATTAAATTTAACCCTCAATAACGTAATTACCACTTTTATATCCTTGTATCGTATCATTCCATATTAAAATCAGTAAATTCTATTAAGTCAGAGGACAATAAGTTACACAATCAAACAAATGTATAGAGGTTTATACTCTATGCAGCACGTTACATGCCTGATGACATAGCTTTGATACTTCATGGTACTGACCATCTCAGCAGTAAAAAGTCAGTAAACAAGTCTCCAGTGAGACACTGCTTTTAGAACATCCATGCAGGCTCCAGTTTGAAACTAAGATATAAGTTTGAAACTAAGATATAAAACTAAGATACAGTGCATACCCCTAGAAACCTGCATCTATCGTATTGCAGTTTCATAGACCAATTTGCTACTGAATACCCGCTACTTGCACTATCATAAAATATTTACACAATTTATAATAATATGATAAATTAGTATGTTAGTTGCATAATAGTGTTGAAACACCGTTACATTCTCTAAATTTTGCGATTTATATTGTACTGCCTGTATTTACTGTACCGGTTACACACTTTTCTTGGTCCGGTCTACAGTACACAATATAATAATCATAGTATTAGCAAATATTTAGAGTTATGTGGTAGTCTGTTAATAAATCTTGTGTTGTCAACAAATTTACAATAATTATATATAAGACGAGACGTAAGATTTGTATGGGCTATTTAACAAGACGAGATGTAAGATTTGTATGGGTTATGACAAGACGAGATGTAAGATTTGTATGGGTTATGATAAGACGAGACGTAAGATTTTATGGGCTATGACAAGAATTTTATGTCGGCCGATATCGAATTTCAAGCGCACAGAAGTTTGTAGAATAATACACAAGCTGCATAGTCATCATACGGGAAATTGTATCATACAATGTACTCGTTTAGATAATTAGATAATATGAAGTGCTCGAGTAGAAACAATAAAAGTGGCAAAGTTTTACTGAGTTATGTACCATTAAATTCCTTTGTATGGTGCACAGAGACTGTGGTTAGAGATATTTTATATCTTCATACCCTCCCAAACAATCTCTAACAGACGTGTCATGAAAACTACTTGCACCCATGTATTCTTTCTTTGTGGCGCCTAATATTTGATTACATCTGATTATTGTCAATTATCAATAAATTTCCATATCATTAGTAATAAAAACACGATACAAGCTACATGGTTGTTAACCGGTAACCATAGCAACAGAGTCTAAACATCACAGGACCCCCTGCACGGCTGTCAACTAGAGAATATATAACAACACGTGACCGGTGACTTATCACGTGACTTATTATACACTTTAATTAGCTAAACATACCACCTGCTTGTGTTTGTTATACTGGGAGCTGCAGAGAGTTCAACATTGAAGTATTGAAACACTTTCTGGGGCTCCAGGGAGATTTACGTGGATTTAAAGTTGTAGCAACATTATTATTGGATTATTATAACGTTTTGGATCTCTTAGCCGATGATAGAGATCATGTAGACCCAGTTGTTTCAGTGATGATTTGTGCAATGGGAATCTTGTGGTACATTGACACCCATTTATATCTTCCCTAGTTTAAATGTCAATTTAGTACTATTTGAATGATGAATATTCTGAATATGTTGACGTCACGTGTACATACATGTCTACAAAAGTCGTCAATAAAGATAGCTTCATGCTTTTTTTATTTAGCACGATTTCTTATATTGTTCTTCAATTTTATGATATATCATTTCACCTTTGTTATTACAATTTTCATAGATTCCTGAACTTGTGATCAATTAATAATAATGTTGGCAGTTGTCCCAATTATGCTGAAATGAAATTACCGGAATACAATTGTTATCATTATTTAGGATCGATGGACGTTATTAAGACTGTTGCTTCTGTTCGAAGAGCTGTAAGTTTCGATTGCAGGGAGGGGTTTTAGCCACACTTTGTAGCTTTAACTATACCCATCTATTCAACTCGAATTGAAATATTTTGGGATCAATCAGATATTTCGCTAGAAACACATTTTAAATAAATCATATTATTATCTATATTATGTTATTAAACTACATGTACACCTAACTGTAACCTTTTTCAGAGCCAGAGCTGTATGCCTCGAAAATCTGAGAACTTCATCAAACCTGTTATCCCGAGAAAAATTAATTCGACCAAAGTAACCGAAGTAAGTCCACGAATTGATAACATTTTAACAATCTTATCTGGAGTTTGCAAGAAATGAAATTCAGAGGTATGTACTATCTTTTTATTATGATTTACAAACGGACACAATAATATTATAATATCACTATCCGCTGTTAGGGGAGTAGGGGGTGCAACGTATTCTTACCAGTAGGTAACAGTGTCATCTTGTAAATAAAGTAAACTGTCGCTCTTATTGAAATCCGGGAAATCCCTGTACTCGTCTACAAAAGTTACTTTACATGAGTGACTTACCCCTCTACCCCTCTACCCCTCTACCCCTCTACCCCTCTACCCCTCTACCCCTCTACCCCTCTACCCCTCTACCCCTCTACCCCTCTACCCCTCTACCCCTCTACCCCTCTACCCCTCTACCCCTCTACCCCTCTACCCCTCTACCCCTCTACCCCTCTACCCCTCTACCCTCTACCCCTCTACCCCTCTACCCTCTCTACCCCTCTACCCCTCTACCCCTCTACCCCTCTACCCCTCTACCTCTCTACCCCTCTACCCTTCTAACCCTCTACCCCTTTACCCCTTTACCCCTCTACCCCTCTACCCCTCTACCCCTCTACCCCTCTACCCCTCTACTCCTCTACCCCTCTACCCCTCTACCCCTCTACCCTTCTAAACCTCTACCCCTCTACCCCTCTACCCTTCTAACCCTCTACCCCTCTACCCCTCTACCAGTCTATCCCTCTACCCCTCTACCCCTCTACCCCTCTTCCCCTCTACCCCTCTACCCCTCTACCAGTCTAATAGTCTACCAGTCTACCCCTCTACCCCTCTGCCAGTCTACCCCTCTACCAGTCTACCCCTCTACTAGTCTACCAGTCTACCCCTCTACCAATCTACCCCTCTACCAGTCTACCCCTCTACCCCTCTACCAGTCTACCCCTCTACCCCTCTACCCCTCTACCCCTCTACCCCTCTACCCCTCTACCCCTCTACCCCTCTACCCCTCTACCCCTCTACCCCTCTACCCCTCTACCAGTCTACCCCTCTACCCCTCTACCCCTCTACCCCTCTACCCCTCTACCCTTCTAAACCTCTACCCCTTTACCCCTCTACCCCTCTACCCCTCTACCCCTCTACCCCTCTACCCCTCTACCCCTCTACCCCTCTACCCCTCTACCCCTCTACCCCTCTACCCCTCTACCCCTCTACCCTTCTAACCCTTTACCCCTCTACCCCTCTACCCCTGCCCTCTACCCCTGGCATTGGGGGTTAATTGTTAAAACTGAGATACATTCCTCGGGTACGGGAGCAAATGTATTAGATCTTCACAAAACAAAGAGTGTCCAATATACCTACAATATATAATATCTACTGATGCTGTTAGATGTGGTACATTACACACACACACACACAACAGTGCAAGTGGGCCTTTATAAGTTCATATTACTGAAGGTAATTACTTTACACTGTAATACGGTACACTACACTGTGTACTGTACACTGTACACTGTACACTGTACACTGTACACTATATACTGTACACTGTACACTATACACTGCACACTGTACACTGTACACTGTACACTGTAGTCTATAATACGGTATCATCAGACCTCACGCCTTGTAGCTTTGTAGCACGATACGAATTAGTTATACCTTTATCAGATACCCGTAATGTACAGTGTAGAGTATACATTGCAGTGTATAGTGTGCAGACTGTTAATAGGGATTTATGTCACTGTTACGTGGGTTAATACAACAAATAAAACACAGATATTATAAATAAATAAGCTGAAAAAAGTGGGTTATATAATGTAATACAACGCACTTGCTCTCTCGCGTCCTGTTGTACACAACGTAACTAAACAGTAAACACCACAACAAAAACACCTGAAACATGATCTACATAAGTTACAACTACAAAGCTAAGAAATCTTATTATAAAGCCTCATAACCAAAACAAGGTAATTATTTATTATATTAATAACTCCAAAGAGAGAGAGAGAGAACCCTAGACCAACTATCCAGATTGATGATCACTTCCTGATGTTCGTACACCTTCTACGAATACAACCAAGTTACTCACAGGGACGTCTACTCCCTTGTGAGTAATCAGGACATGTCTTTCTCCTTGTAATCAATCTCAGTACACATTTTGTAATGTCTCCTGCTCCTAGTCTCCCAGTTTCATCTTCTATCTAGACTCCGTGACATATATAGCTAAAATATAAACATTATAATATGTAACAATTAGATCGATTAAACAATAAACACCATGTCATTATAATATATTATAACACAGACTGCAGTGTACAGTGATATTATAAAGTTAACAGTGAGAATGAGAAGGTATACAGTAAAATATGGAATAACTTTGCTCTGCAAGGAAAAGGGGTTAATCCCATAATCATTATAATATAATGGTATTGTATTACGTGAGTATTTTCAATACAATTAACTTTAAACTCTAACATTAGGATAGGTTGAGAATACAAGAGAAACACTGTCAAGCTATTTAAAAAATTAGTTTACACACAATGTTTACCCACATATTACCCTATAATATTCTATTTAATATTTTTTGTTGTTCTTGAGAAGATGCTGAACTATTAACCATTTTTTTTATTACTTTTATCAATTCAACTATATTTCTGACAAAATTTAGTTAAAAATAACCGTAAATTTAATTTTGTCAAAAACTATTAAAGTGGAAGAAAGTCACACTTTATGCGTTACACCCTGTATATGAAAATATGGATATATTTAATTCTATACATGCAGATAATGAAATAAAGGGTTATAAACATAAAAATAATTATTTAATAATATGAACTTCGCTAATGCGTACTCATTGCTATAATAATTGATAAATCAGTTCATTATTTATTTACTGAATAATGAATATTTAGTGAGGATGATACAGAAGGAATATAATAATATGTTATTGTTATAGTATCATGGTAATGTAGTTCGCAGAGTCCTAGTGCTTCTAGAGTCCGAAATTGGCGTTTTTGATTGTATCGAGAAAAAAAACAGCAACTGCAAAGCTATATCATTAGCTTTCATAGTTAGAATCGACCCTCGGCAGATGTTTCAATCCATTTTTCTTCCAGAAATCTCCGGAAAATAAGAACGTCCTATACCTGTTCAGTAGCTGTTCCTGTAGATGTGTTATCATCAGAATCTACTGCTTCTCCGTTGGGTGGCTGTGGTAGCGGTCTATACCTGTAATTTTCCATTTCAGCATACTTCAGCAAGGCTTCGTTTATCGTCAATATCTCTGTTTGATAGTTTCTCTCCATACGAGAATTAGTACGTCCAATTTTCTTTGCCATTTCCTTTATTATCGTTTGGAGATCCTCTTGGTAAACGTCAAAGCCTTCATTCTTTTCAATCACTTCTTTGATGATGTCTTTGGCTTTCCTGGAACAAGATGCGTCAATATCGTCGTCAATCTTATCCATCAAGATAAGAATCTCTAACTTTTTCTCATCCGATAAAGATTGCACATGTTGAGGATCGGCCCAGTAAACCATCACAAGCAAACTTGTCAGGTGAAGAACTTCAATGCCAACACCAACCATGGTCAAGTGAAATGGACTTATCCCTATATCAATGTTAGAGAATCGGTCATCTCCTCTCGTGTATATTACGACTGAGAAAATAACGGTCCCGAAAGCTTGCAGCAGAGAGGGTAAGATTTTTATTCCAAATGTAATCACCTTGAGATTGGGAAGATGATTTGTGATAGGCGACATAAAGTGATTTTGGGAGAAGACCATGACCCCGGCAAACGAGAATGCTTGAAATAAGAGATTCCCAAGCATCATACCAATGAATTTGATTATTTTAATACAACCTTCTACTCCGCTTTTGGCACGATCTTGTATTTCGCTCAAAGATGACGTCTTGAGATTTTCCCAATAGATTATCATGATTCCAACTACACCTATCAAACTAATGATAACGTACCAAACGAGAATGTATAGAAAAAAAAGCCATGTGACTTTTGTTTCAAAGAAGCAGCTAGATTTAGACTGTGATCTGATAACGTTTAGTGTTGTCGAAAGGGAACAAGATCCAGAGTTAACGTCTATCGAGAAGTTATGATTGACCAATATCACTAGAAATATCACAGTGAGAACTTTGGATGCAATAGCTGAGGCGTGAACTATGAATAGCAACCACTTTTGAGGATAGAGTGCATACCAACCTGTTCCTATAGAGTGAAAACTAAATTTGCGCACCAACAGTTCTGCATGGTTGAAGTTATAGCTGACGCAAGAGCGTGCAAGGGAGACAATCGTAAATAGCAGCGATACCAGTTTCCAGTAAAACCAGAAATCCTTCTCCGAGTTTTGAGTAGAAAAATAATCAGGAGCCACATTGATAATTTGTAGGATGAACTGAGGTTGGTTCTCGAACATTTTTTCTACAATCATGCCAACGTAAATCAGTCTTAATTTATGCCTCATATTATTACAGTCATTCGTTTTACAACTGAGCCTATCAAAAACTGTGCATTTCTTGCGATCATATTTGTTTTCTGGGCCATGATTTAGAAGGAACTTCTTTATGATGAAGTGCTGTGTCGAAGAGAATGTACAGAGTGTAAGAATTTTTCTCCATGACCACTTCCGTCGGTACCGATGTTGACCGTCCGAACCAACGTCATCTAATGATCTGAATTGAACAGGTGCAATCCATCCGACGACTATAATAACGACAACCGAAAGAGCTCCTAATACATATTTCCTTTCCTTAAACATGCCAACAGCGGTCACCAAATCAGTGACCGTGTCCATGTAGTTGAACAGGCAGATAGCTAACAGCGATATTTTTGTAGTCAGAGGGAGGAATGCACAGTCATGGGTTACAGTCTCTTTCACCAGCGGGGTCTTTTTGCCTTCCGAGTTTTTCCAATATGTTCGTTTACCGTCTCCCTGCGGTTAGCCGTAAGCAAGTTTCAAATGAAATTATAGTAATTAAGATTATGAGATTTCTTTGATACTTTATGGAGTTATGGTGTTATCGTAACTTAATTGATCAGAGGAAAGCTTTCGCCCAAAATTTGATCAAATTAAAATATTTTTAAATGAGACTAGCTCAATATCTTTTGAATAGTGTACACTAAGTAAAAAGACCTTCATGAACAAAATTGCACATAATATCTAGCCAAAATGACTTCATTAAAATCGAAATAACTCCATCAATTTTCAATATTTTTGCATGAAATTTTCCGAATCGATTAAGAATTGCATTTTAAGCTTATTGTGGGCGAATTTCGATTTAGGCCTCCAAAAAGATAGGGATGTATTAAAGTATATCAAAGCATATTAAAATCCTAAATCGGGAAAAAACCTACATTATAATATACTTTAATATGGTCAGCCCCCCCCCCCCACCCCCAAGATTCGGGCTGTGGCGCGAGCCGTCGGGCTGTGGCGCGAACCTAGTAAAGTAAAGCTAGCCAAGTAAAGCTACACGGTACAACCCTGTTCATTATCCAATATACCACGTTCATCAGACCTTATGATGTCATCGTAACTCAATTGATCAGAGGAAAAGTTCGGGTGCGGCAAAGTAAAGCTAGCAAAATAAAGCTAGCAAAGTAAAGCAAGAAAAGTAATGCTAGAAAAGTAAAGCTAGCAAAGTAAAACTAGCAAAGTAAAGCAAGCAAAGTAAAGCTAGCAAAGTAAAGCTAGCAAAGTAAAGAGGTAAAGCTAGCAAAGTAAAGCTAGCAAAGTAAAGCTAGCAAAGTAAAGCTAGCAAAGTAAAGCTAGCAAAGTAAAGCTAGCAAAGTAAAGCTAGCAAAGTAAAGCTATTAAAGTAAAGCTAGCAAAGTAAAGCTAGCAAAGTAGTGCTAGCAAAGTAAAGCTAGCCAAGTAAAGCTAGCCAAGTAAAGCTAGCCAAGTAAAGCTAGCCAAGTAAAGCTAGCCAAGTAAAGCTAGCCAAGTAAAGCTAGCCAAGTAAAGCTAGCCAAGTAAAGCTAGCCAAGTAAAGCTAGCCAAGTAAAGCTAGCCAAGTAAAGCTAGCCAAGTAAAGCTAGCCAAGTAAAGCTAGCCAAGTAAAGCTAGCCAAGTAAAGCTAGCCAAGTAAAGCTAGCAAAGTAAAGCTAGCAAAGTAAAGCTAGCAAAGTAAAGCTAGCAAAGTAAAGCTAGCAAAGTAAAGCTAGCAAAGTAAAGCTAGCAAAGTAAAGCTAGCAAAGTAAAGCTAGCAAAGTAAAGCTAGCAAAGTAAAGCTAGCAAAATAAAGCTAGCAAAGTAAAGCTAGCAAAGTAAAGCTTACAAAGTAAAGCTAGCAAAGTAAAGCTAGCAAAATATAGCTAGCAAAGTAAAGCTAGCAAAGTAAAGCTTACAAAGTAAAGCTAGCAAAGTGAAGCTTTCACAACAGCAGAAACCCGAACTCCAAATTCAAATGAACTAATCTGAGCTAATCTCACTTACATTTTGAGCTTGCGCAAGCCTTTCTTTTTCTTCCTGCTTTGCTTCTATTTCTTGAGCAAGTCTTCCTAGTTCTTGGTGCTTCTGATCTTTGTCCTACAAGGATTAATCAATTCATTTTCCAATATACCACGTTCATCAGTCCTTATGGTGTCATCGTAACTCAACTGATCAGAGGAAAAGTTCGGGTGCGGCAAAGAAAAGCTTTCTCAACAGCAAAAACCCGAAAGCCAAATTGAAATAAACTAATTTGAGCTAATCTCACTTACATTTTGAGCTTGAGCAAGTTCTTCTTTAAGCCTTTCTTTCTCTTCCTGCTTTGCTTCTATTTCTTGAGCAAGTTTTCCTAGTTCTTGGTGCTTCTGATCTTTGTCCTACAAGGATTAATGAATTCATTATCCAATATACCACGTTCATCAGTCCTTATGGTGTCATCGTAACTCAACTGATCAAAGGAAAAGTTCGGGTGCGGCAAAGAAAAGCTTTCTTAACAGCAAAAACCCGAAAGCCAAATTGAAATAAACTAATTTGAGCTAATCTCACTTACATTTTGAGCTTGAGCAAGTTCTTCTTTAAGCCTTTCTTTCTCTTCCTGCTGTGCTTCTATTTCTTGAGCAAGTTTTCCTAGTTCTTGGTGCTTCTGATCTTTGTCCTACAATGATTAATGAATTCATTATCCAATATACCACGTTCATCAGTCCTTATGGTGTCATCGTAACTCAACTGATCAAAGGAAAAGTTCGGGTGCGGCAAAGAAAAGCTTTCTTAACAGCAAAAACCCGAAAGCCAAATTGAAATAAACTAATTTGAGCTAATCTCACTTACATTTTGAGCTTGAGCAAGTTCTTCTTTAAGCCTTTCTTTTTCTTCCTGCTTTGCTTCTATTTCTTGAGCAAGTTTTCCTAGTTCTTGATGCTTCAGTTCTTGTTCCTGCAAGGAATAATAAATTCATTATCCAGTATATCACGCTCATATCATCAGACCTTATTTTTAAACTTACATCTTCTCAAATAATATATAATTATACGAAATTGAGTGATTCTTAACACACCCAGAATCCATATATAAAAGGAGAAAACTAATATAGCCCGATAGCCCAACAATTAATCATCTAACATAATATAATAATTAATAATATTGTACTTATAGCATAGGAAATATAAAACTCGCAAGTTTTCTTCTCAGAGGTGACGATCTTTAAGTTTATGATTCGTTTACAACTCCAACAGAATACCACCTACCAGATACTTTAGCATGTAAGTTCTCCTCAGTATCTGCTCTGGTAGCTCAGAAATTATCAGATTTTTATTTCAAATTTCACTCAAATTGCCATACCATCTTTACTGATCAGAGGAAACGTTCGGGTGCCGCAAAATATTGCAAAGCATTCCGTAGCCCCCCAGAATGGTGAGTTTATGCAGTAAAGGTACGGTTGACTGAATATTTGTTCTTAATAACAGAGCTTCAAAATCAAATCTTCCAAGGTATGTTGGAAGCAGGGGGCAAAGAGGGTGACCCAACTAAATTTAGCGTACATGTCTAACAAATCAAAACTGTTACCTCTTGGATCGCAAGGCTAACGTTAGGTGGTACTTCAGCTTCAGGTGGTACTTTCTGTTTATCTTCAGTATGATCAGCAGATTCCTGTTCCAACATATCATCAGCTGCCATTTCTAACGATTAAATCGATTAAACACTATGTCATTATGTAATAACACAGACTGCAGTGTGCAGTGATATTATAATGTAATGTAAATATAAAATAACCCACTATAAAGAACTTTGACGATGCAGGACAGCATGATACTATGTCATCATAGTAATTGATTGCCAATGGATCTACCAAAATAGGTTTCTCAGTAGACCAAACAGATAGTTGTTTCTGGGAATAACCCACATTGCATTATAAAAGAATTTTAAAATATCTTTAATTCACATTTAGTCAGTACACAATACACATACGTACGTTGGGTCTTATAACATAGCCATGTTTCGTATTTGAGACCTTTTTATCTAAATCTTTTCAAACAATACATAATTATACAGAAGTGAATGCATCTAAATAAACCCAAATATAAAAGGAGAAAACCAATATAGCTCAATACAAATATCCAGTAGCCCAGTATATCGAAACCCAAATTATGTATTGAAAGAAAGGTCACAAAATCACGGTAGTGTGCAGTAAGAAATACCAAACCCGCAATAACATTGCCATTGGGCCCTAGCAAAAAATAATAACAATGAATGAAATCATATATTCTCACATGATCATTGTATAACTGTCCATTATGTAAAAGTTTTTCTCTCACTATTGTTTACGCTAATATAATGTAACATACCCAAGTGATAACTACCCATGCGATAACTATTTAAGCAGCAATGGTGTGGTTGACTCAATACTTCGTTCTTAAGGGGGTATACACCAAAACAGGGGTAAAAAAGGTAACACTAACAGATGACCAAATCTTCCTTATAATCACAATAGTTTCATAATTCGAATCGATTAACCAAACTAAATTTAGTGTACATATTTAACAGATCAAAACTGTGACCTCTTGGATCACAACTCGCAAGGCTAAAAACTGTCTTATACATAAATACAGTATATTCTGTTATCTGTGTATACTTATATTAAAATAATTTTTGCGCTTTAAATTAACTAAATCTTTATAAGAACTGCTGATCAATGCATGTCTTTTTCCGTGTGTTTATAAATGTGTTTATAAATGTGTCTATCAGCGTTATTTCTATTAAAAGTTTAACACAAACATGTTCTCTCAGAATATAACAGAACAGCTGAAGAGACAAGGTATAAGATGTTGCACCGACGTCTGTGAGCTGTATCTAGCTAATAACAACTTTGTGGACATTCCAACTCTCGGAGAGTATAAAGCCTTGCACGTGCTCTGGCTCAACAACAATAAGGTTTGTTAATATGTTTATATTTCCATTTTATTTTTTTACGCCTACCAAATTTACCATGTCACGTGTGACACGTGTTGTATCACGTTGTTTAAGCCCTCCCTCCAGTCTCCACCGATTTTAACCTAAACCGTAACCTTACACCTTAACCTTAATAACCTAACTAAACTAAACATTTCAAAATTGAATTTATTCCCATGGGATTGGATTCTGGCAAATCCCTCCCATCTTACCCTTACACGTGACTTAAATCTGTAAAATTATGAACGCCCTTTTTCTGACACGAGTTTTCCCTCAGATTTATAAAGTAGATTTCCTGAAGACCAACTTCCAGATAACAGAGCTGTATCTCCAACAAAACATGATCGTTAACATTGGTGGGGCCCTGAAACATCTCTCTTGTTTACAGGTACGTTCAGGGAGTTTGCAATTGTTTGACAAAATAGATTTTTAGACTCGATTTTCAGGGCGCCCGATCAAAAATCGCTTATGTGTAATACTAGGAACCGACCGGATATCCGGCTGAATCCGAATCCGGCTTCAATATCCGGTTTTGGCGCCGGCTCTGGTTTCAAAAAATGTTGCTGGATTTTTGCCGGATATTTATTCCGCTTCCGAGCTCGTGTTGCAAAGGGGAGGTCTGCCTTCCGAGATCGCATTACCAGGGGAAGCTTCGAGTCCAAAAAATTGTGTATCCCCCGGCTATAAACGCAACATATGTAGTATACAATAGGAAAACCGAACCTTATTACGAACAGTAGCTCTAGTATTGCTCTTTAATCTTTATCAATATCACGTTTTATTATTATGAAGTTACTAGTGTAACCCGGCCTACGGCCGGGATTTCACTGCCGCAGTTAAAAAGGGTAGGAGTAATTACCCGCTGAGTCAAAACCCGCATTAGGTGACCCAATAGTTTCTTAAACAATAATCTCATAATCAGTTATTTCTTGTGGATAATTAAGTCATTATTAGCCATGAGGCACCACACTCCATGATCATAAGGTCTGAACACCGAGTATTACACCTCATCACTCCCGTCTTGAACCGCTTTCTATTTTTATTTAAATCGTTATAGAAATTAACCCTTGTTAACTCCGCACCACACCCGCATATTATATTTGAAAACACGCATAACATTGTCGTATGAACTCTCTCTCTCTCTCTGCAGTCCAAACAGACCCCAAACACTAACAGTCCCCCCTCCCCTAATAAGCTTAAGGTATAACATTACAGCGAATCTTCCGGGCTAATCCAATTATGACGCTACTTAAATGCAGCTATAACATATTACACAGTAATGAGAGAGAGAGCAAGCCCCGTAACTCTTGCCGTTCTGCTCAAGCAATTTTATGTAACATTTGTGGTACAAAACCATCAATTAAACCACTTACCACCGGCCGATTTAAAAAAAAATTCCTATGGGCTTCATCAGAGTTTTGTCGGCACTATACCGAAAAAAACCAGTCCCGTAACTATTACCGTTTTTTTTGTATAACCGTTCGGAAATTACACACAGACAGACAGACAGACACACACACATTCTGGTGTTATTAAGTTGATGATCCAGTTTTGGCTCCGAGTCAACTATTGTGCAGACAGAAGACTGCTGTCTTACTGTCTACTAAACATGATCCAGTAATTATAAAATATGCTTGCATGCGTATCAGGGTACTATTGTACCTGAATCGGGAACTACTGTGTCGCTTAATTAGAACTAACCAGTGATTAAGTGCGCCTGCATGCTAAAAATGTACAATTGTACACTCCTTGGCTTTAATTATTCTTTGTATTGTTGTAAAAAACCAACTTGAAATTTTGGGAAAGCACTTCAGTTATCAAACCAAATGTTTCTAGAAACTTTGGAGTTCCTAGCGTAAAACGCTCTCACTTTATGGTGACAATAGCGAAAAAGAGGGAGTGGCGAGCCATAACTACTATAATTTTGCTATATTTTCATTGAAAACTGCTGTGACTTCAAGATTTAAGTACTGTAGTTTTACACCTAGCTGGAGCTGAAACCCACTATTCCTGCGGAATTTGGGTCTTTTTTGAGTACTATTATAGTAAGTGTTCCTGGATCAGCACAGATTCACTGACCCTGCCCTTTTGACCCCCTATTATAGATGTGAAATCCGCAAGGCACAGTAATGGCTGGCCTCCCCGTAAAAAGCAAAATCTGACGGACAGGAATATCAACAGAAGAAGTGGAAGAATTATGATATATAATTTTTGAACTCTATAATAGTCATAGAGTTTGAACTCCATAATAGTAACAAACTGGGATACTTCTAGTGTGTCAGTGTGGACCACAGTGTGGCACTTACAGTTACAGTTACGGTTGTTAGATGAAATTTCATATTCTTGTCAATATAATTGTGACAGCTTATTTTTTAACAATCTTATAAATGACTCCTGGTTGTTCAATAAACAAGTTCGACAGAGCAAGATATTGAAAATGAAAGCAGACCGGATCAGTGAACGAACCAAATGTCCAATCGGCTGCCAGTTGACTCCTAGTTTGTAAACAACAGTATATGAATAGCAGGAAAATAAATGTTAATTTAAATATGAAATCTTACAAGACAAATATAATTAAATTTGAACGTAAAATTCATAAGCGTGGTCGCAAACTATAGTATTCTGAATAAATGCGTCTGAAAATGAGCAAAGCAGCATTTAAGACACGAAATTTCTCCTGATAAGAAATTAAAAAACTACCTTATGCGTGTAGAAATGTTGTGACAAATAAAACAGCGTGATGATGCTTAAAGATTAGTCACTGCTGGCTACCAGTTAGTGACTGTCCATATAATATAATATGTAAGCTCTCCTCTAAATATTTACTTGGGTTTATATACGCGCAACAATGTCGTCATCAGACGAAAGTTAAGAACTTTTGAGTTGCGGAGTTATTTGATAAATTGCGGTGACCATGATCTGCTTTATATTATAATTGAATTTATTCCGCTCGAGATCAACGATCTGAAGAACTGACAAAGTTTTCCGATCTTAACTTTTTAATTACGGTGCAAATTACAGTTAGCCACTAAGACGGTACCACGATCTAATTAGTCAAAATAACATAGTTAAAAAAATGCAGTAAAAAAGAGTAAACTTGTGGCGGCTCACAGCACCACAACTTGTTTATTTGTATATTAGGACGCAATGAAACTACCGGACCACGATGTATGGGGATTTGCCACCCCATGGCAACATTAAAATATATCGACTCTGTTACATCGTTTCCTGTCAATATAAAACTCCGTTACAAAATGAACTGGGATCTGGCAATACTACACCTTAGTTCGATAAAATATGATAAAGTAATGTATAACTAGACTTAAGTAAAAGTCTGAAAGAATATAGAAAACAAAATATATACTGCTAGAAAGCTAAATAATAAACTGCCAAAGAATAGTTAACGTGATATAAAACTGAACTCCAAAACGATCAAAGGGGGAAGTGAATAGATCACGGACGAGGTAACATGCATAAGGAATTACAAGGTTTGGCCTCACACACAATATAATTACATGAAGTCATTTACTGTGAAATTGTGCCAGTGTTTAAGGATGCACGCTGGTTGACTGTTAATAAATAATTTAAGATGTCTATGTAAGATTTTCCGTTCAAAATTCTGGGTGATCAGTTTATCGATTAATAATTTAACATCATGAATAAATTCATTCACTACTGAGGAGGATTTGCATATCCTATATAGTTCACCTACAAATATTCCATATGAAGGTTTCACAGGTACGTTGGATTTAAGGTTAGGAATATCTTTTAACTTGCGTACTACTGTCTTTTAACTTGCGTACTACTGTATTTTAACTTGCGTACTACTGTCAAGGTAGATATTTGGATAATGTCATCCACTTTTTTCGTGAATTATCCATTGACAATAATCTACAAATATCTACATTTATCTACAAAAAATGTATATCTCAAATATGTGCCCAGAAATTCTACTGAGTTTTTGGAGATAAATGTATAAATTTGTAGAATTTGTAGAATTTTCGTGAATTATCCATTGACAATAATCTACAAATATCTACATTTATCTACAAAAAATGTAATCTCAAATATGTGCCCAGAAATTCTACTGAATTTTTGGAGATAAATGTATAAATTTGTAGAATATCATCCACTTTTTTCGTGGATTATCCATTCTACATTAATCTACAAATATCTACAAATATCCACTTGGCTCCCCCCCCCCCCCTGTCAAGGGGCATTATACTAATTACACTGTAGATAGAAACACTGCCCTGATCACTAGAAGTCCATCATTCAATAGTTAGGTTACCAAACAAATCAAGTGATTAAGTGCGCCTGCATGAGTGCATGCTATTATAAAGGTACAATTGTGCCCTGAATCGGGAACTATTGTCCTTTGATAATTGATATTCAGACCTGCATGACAAAAACAACTGTGCCTCGCATTTGTAAAATTGTAATCGCGCTCAATGGCCCTGGGCCTGGTAGGATATGCCAATTGCCTATCATTCCTGATAATCTTTGTATATAATATATAAAATATATATTATATATATTTTCAATAAATCTGTGTGTGTGTGTATGTATGTGTGTGTGCGGGAAATTTCTGAGCGGCTATATTAAATAACAGTAAGAGTTATGGGACTGGTGTTTTCGGTATAGTGCCGACAAAATTGTGACAAAGCCAATAACTAAATTTTTCTAGATCGGCCGGTGGTAAGTGGTTTAATTGATGGTTCTGTACCACAAATGTAACATAAAATGACTCACTTTTTCTCCCTCTTCGCCCTCCCTTCCATTACTGCCGATTATGTAGCGTTGGTACATGAATCATAATTAGGTTAGCCCCGAAAGTAATTAAGCTTATTAGGGGTGAAGGGCGCTGATTGCGATCTGTTTGGACTGTAGAGAGAGTTCATACTTTCATACGACAATGTAATGCATGTTTTCAAATAGGCGGGTGTGGTGCAGAGTTAATAAGGGTTAATTTCTAAAAAGATTTAAATAAAAATTGAAAGTGGTTCAAGACGGGAATAATGAGATGTAATTGTCGTGGTACAGAGTTTACGGACCTTGTGATCACGGAATGTGGTGCCTAATATAATAATGACTTAATTATCCACGAGAAAGAACTGATCATGCGATTATGCGATACTGAAAAAATGTTTCAATTTTTATTTGTGAAATAAAATCAATACGAGTGACCTGATCCATGCTATTACTATTGGTGGTGTCGGGCACATTTTTGAACATTTAAAATATAATTTGAAACATTACAGTAACGTTATTCAAATCTCAAACAGAAACAGTATATTATATATATATTACAAAGTTTTGTGTTTTGATCATATGATCGTGGATGTATAGTGATTGATTGCATAATTTTGAATTTGATTGATGGTGATTGTGAGTGAGAAGATGTTTGGAGTGCCAGCCAGTAACTCTGTCAAATGAACAGCCCACTGAAGAGCGGGTGAGCGCAAGCGCGGGAACAGCAGAGAGGGTGGCACAAAACGGCACACACGGAAAGGACGAAACAAAAAAATACGCTGAGCGCGGTAAGCTTGCCTATGTCTGAGAGCCGGTGTTACCTGGCAGGGGGCCTCAAAGGAGGTGCCGTGGTGGAGTGTGAAGGGCAAGATCAGGACTGCGGTCACACGACTCACGTGTTTTAACGGAATATAGTTGATCCCAGAAACTTGCGGGACAACAAAATTCAATTATAATATCGATTACGACCGCAGCGACTGTATTAATACAGTGAGAAAAATGTCATCGTATGTTTTTTACATGTTTACCTTTTTTTTAAAGCTGCATTTATTCAGTGAATCGAAAAGAGAGAGAGCCAAAAAATCGGATGTATTTTTTTGAGCGTATTAATACAGTGAAAAATTGGCCATGGAACTAGTATAGAGGGTAACAGTGTTTCAGTAATCAAATCTAAGTATCACCATGGCACCCGTTCTTATTACGTAGACACAAGACACAAGACACATTCGTTAACAACATTACTGAGAATTTGTAAAAGTGTGAAGTTTTAAGTGCAACGCAAGCTTCACAAGTATAAGTAAAGGTGCAGTCAGAATTATGAGTAAGTTAAAATATTAGGCAATCATGTTTATGCACTTACAAGGATCATAACGATTATTTTGTATGTATATTGTCTGAGCCGAAGAATATTTGCTTATAAATATATTATTATATTTATAATATATAATATCTAATATGTTAAAATGCGACAAGAAATTAGAAAATTAATAAAAATAATAATTCCTATCAAATCGCTTTAAACTATATTTTATGCACTAGAAACTAATTGGAAACTAATTGGATAAGTATTATTAATTCATTTCAGATTCTAATGCTGCATGCAAATCAACTGACGTGCTCGCATACAACAGTAAAGGAACTGAAAAACATGCTCAGTCTTCATACTCTTAGTAAGATGATCTTATTTTTGCACAAAACTGCAGTTTATATTAGTGTCAAGTTATTAGTTATTAATTAATTAATTAATTAATCTTTCAAACATGGTATTTTTTATTACTTATTAGTGTGTACAATATATTTTTCTATGACTGGAATTTTGTCTGTGATTCACAGAGAATAATGAATTCGTGCTGTGTGGTAAATTAGATATCCTCTCCTAACATCTTCTTCCTATAAATACAGCTTAGCTGTCTTCGTATTTTTCACATAGTTTAATTTCGTTGGCAAGGACGCCGTGCAAACAAAATAAACTTAGTAATTAGATTTTTACCTGCGACGTGGGCACCAATTCAAATATTTGAGTGGAAAAGGTTACATCGTAGAAGCTAGTGTGACATTTTGAACGCCGCGCATTCGTTTGTAGTGGCGTGCACGCTAATATAATATTAATATGGCTTATTCAATTCCGAAAATTTTAGTTTGTTGCATTTATAGTATTTGAAAATGATAATTTACGTAGTTTTAAAAACTGTAATCAGTTTCGAAAAATTTTAATCGTTTTTACTCATATTCGTAGGCAGCAAGCAAGTTCAAAACTATGAGAGAAATGGTTATATCCAACGTAATAGTAAGTTCGGAAAATTAGCATTGTCAACCTCAGCTAAGAAAGTGCTTGAAGTAAAGGTTCAATCGAAAATCGACGTTGTACCCGAAAATAACTACCCAAATAATATACCTTACTCGGGATTATTATGACCGGGATAAAGTGGCGGGTTTAGGGTAATTTCGCCATATTTTTCCCGAACCACATTTTCACCGGTCGTTAATAAACCCGCCGACTCAGCTTTTAGAGTTCCCAAGGGGTATGGGTGCTCATATTTTAATCGTTGTCTTATATTCACTAAAGAAGACTATTGGGACACTTGTTGTAGGTTTTTCGACTTCATTTGGCTAAAATTGCAAAAAATTCACCTTTTTGCCCAATTCTTGTCATATATCCTTATTGTCAAAGTTGATTTAAATAGGCCAATTTTTAATTTCTTAGGTATTGATTATCTCTACATAATGAAATAGGACTCAAAGTAAAAGTAACAGTTAAATTAAAACTTGAATTAATTAAAACTGTCAATAACATGAATCAGTTTCATCAGTCATTTATTCATAATTCTAAACAATGTGAACGATGCATTCTTTCGAAGAAAATTATTTTCCATCTAGTTTGATTAACCACGAGTCATTATTTCTGTCTACTTTCAACAATTATTGATAATTCGACTTGTTTCACAAGTTTTAGCAATGCGAAAATTTCTAAACTTGCTTATATTATCTCTGATCAGGAAATTTACATCTGAGACAAAATTTTTTCAATCTAAAATTGAAAGGTTGGACACCGGTAAAATGGCGACCGGGAAAATGTGGTGGGTTTTGAGCAATTTCGCCATATTTTTCCCGAACCATATTTTAAGCCATTCCAGTGGCGCAGGTGGCTCACGTGTCACATAGCCAACAGAAAAGAAACATGATGAATAGTTCTTACAGCACTAGGGTATCAGCCCCTACTTTTGTTTCTGGATGTGGAGGTGGTAATGATTTCACCAACTTAAATCCGAATGGAAGGTTGGTGAATGATGAGCCTAATCAACCTGAAACACCCAACAGCATAAACGAAAACAACAAAAAAAGTTTATTTTCATGTACCGACATTACCTGGGTAGGCACTCTTAACACTAGAACGATAAGAACTGCCCAGAGGAAACTGGAGATGGTACATCTTTTCGAGAAGAGTGGAGCAGAGATTGTAGGTATCCAAGAGCACAGGATAGTCCATGAAGAGCCTGTCAAAGTAGAGAGAGTTGGCAAGAGCAGCTATCTAATTACTTCATCAGCTACTAGGAATCGGGCCCAGGCAGCAGTGGGCGGAGTGGGATTCATCCTAACTAGCAAGGCATTTGACGCAACTACGGAGATAACACCAGTAACGGAGAGAATCCTTAAAATATCTCTAAATGGTAATCCTAAACCAACCTTCGTCTGTGTCTACGGACCTACGGAGGCAGATAGTGTAGAAGCAGCAGAGAAGTTTCATACCGATCTAAGGTGTGCAGTCTCACAGATCCCTGCTCACAACTTCTTGGAGGTGATTGGGGATTTTAACGCTCACCTATCAAAGAGGGACGAGAATGACTTTGGTTGGTATTTCCATGAGAGAACCAACAGAAATGGGGAGCTGCTTCGGGATACTGCCCTGGAATGTAATCTGGAGATTACAAACACCAGGTTCAGAAAGAAGCGGGGTAAAATGTGGACTCACCTATCGGATGGAACCCTGAATAAGTCTCAGATAGACTTTATTCTAGTGAGGAAGAAGTGGAGGAACAGTGTCAAAAACACTGAAGTCTACAGCTTCTTTAGTACACTGGGTACTGATCATAGATTTGTTTTGTCTAAGATCAAGCTATCTCTTCGACGAGCAAAAAAGCAACCCAAGAAAACCTGGTATAATTGGGGAGCACTTAAATCGGATGAAGACCTACAGAAGAGATACGCAGTAGAAGTCAAGAATCGGTACTCTGCTCTATGCGAGCAAACCGATGAAAGTGAGGTTACGGAACTGTATGGGCATTTTGTTGATGCGATTGCTGATACCAACAAAGCCATACTGCCTAAGAGAGAAAAGAAGAGACGTGACGATTTCGCGGGTGATCAGCGAGTTGAAAACGTGCGTACAGCCCTGCAGCAAGCAGAGACTGTCTATCACCGGGATCCTAGTGAAGACAGTCGATTGTCTGTTAACCTACTAAAAACTGAACTGGATCAGGTGTACCAGGACATCTTTGAAGAAGATCTAGTTGCCAAGGTTAGAAGGGTCGAAATGGCTGCAGACAGATGCAAAAACAAAGAAAGTTGGAATGTCATTAATGAGATAACTGGCAGGAAGGCCAAGGGGGCAACTCAAATAAGGGGCAACGGAGCCGAAGAAAGGAAGGAAAATTGGCTTAGGCATTTCACGAATCTGCTAGGGAGTACACCTGATGTAGAAAACGAGCATCCTAGGATCGAGACTCAATTTGAAGGACTCAACATCAGTACAGAACCTTTTACTCTTGAGGAGCTTAAAGCTGCTAAACACAGGATAAAAGAAGGTAAAGCACCAGGTGATGACGGCATACCACCTGAAGTCCTCAAAAGGTGCGACCTGGATGAAATCGTGCTGTCCTTCTGCAACAAAGCCCTGACAGATGGTATTGCGCCAGATCAGTGGAGGATAAGCAACATCATCCCGGTCCCCAAAAAGGGAGACTTGACAAACCCTGGAAACTGGAGGGGGATATCTTTGACTTCACTTGTAGCTAAGACTCTTAATAGAATGGTGCTTAATAGGATCCAGCCGGCTATAGAGGGGGTACTTAGGGACACTCAGAATGGTTTTCGGGAAGGACGGTCCACTACTAGTCATATCTTGGCACTCAGAAGGATTCTAGAGGGGGCTAGACAGAGAAATTTACCGGCAGCTATGGTGTTTGTTGATTTTAAGAAGGCCTTTGATTCACTTCACCGGGGAATTTTGATGCAAATACTAAAGGCCTATGGAATACCGGACAGTATTGTAGATATCATTAATCTACTCTATGTAAACACGAAGGGCAAAGTTATAACACCAGATGGGGATACCGAGCTATTTGATATCCTGGCAGGAGTTCTTCAAGGGGATACATTAGCACCATACTTGTTCATTATAGCCCTTGACTATTGCATGAGACAAGCCTTAAGCAAGCACCCTGAAATAGGATTTACCATTAAGCCTTATCGGAGTAGGAGAGTCAAGGCGGAGAAGATATCAGACACTGGTTTTGCAGATGACATTGCTCTGATAGCAGATACTGTAAAGGAGGCAGAGATGCTGATGCT